TGTAGTGAGGGGTGACGTGTTGGGGGCTTGTGCGATGTTTCTGTACGTACACAGTCTTTGTTTTGATGAACATTAAACTCAAGCGAACAGAGATTCCATTACAGGAAGTGCTGCCTAATTTTCAATTTCCCAACATTTGCAAATAATATTAACATTAAAAAATATTATCAAAAGCATTTGGAAACTGCATGGCCTCAGCAATAATAATAATTCTTGCTTTGATATCGCACCTTATCACATTTTGGAGACATCGCAAAATGCTTCACTGGATATACTGTAAAGTGAATTGACTGTTATTTTGTGGGCGAAATGCTCACAATGCTCACAAACCTCAAAGACTTCCTTTGTGGCACGTTAATGATCAAAACACAGCGAAAATAACCAGGATTGCCCAGCTGGAGTGACGTTTGAACATTATCTTTGGGAACTATATGGCTTTTGAATAAATAAATACACAAAAAGATTAGTGGCTGAAATCAGTCCGCATTAAATTAAATATATTAAGATCTTAGATAAGTTAATAGAAATATTTGTTCATGAATAAAAATAATCAGTACGACTCAAATCCCCTTCAATACCTCCCCCACCACAAACACCATCAAAAGGGAGTACTTGCCTGTGTGAGAACGCTTATTGTGAATATAAGCTTTCATGCTTTGATTGGAGTAATAAATTAAATGCTGGTAGCAATAAATTAAATACTTGTAGCAATAAATTAAATTACTGGGAGCAATAAATTAAATACTAGGAGCAATAAATTACTGAGAACATGCAGTTTGTCTAATAAACTGCTGGGAATACAATGGTTCAACAAACTGGTAGTGTTAAACTACATGAGCAAAGACACCTCTGTGAACTCGCTCCAACCCTGGGATTGGGTTAGGAATCTTTCTGAATAAGGCGAAAAGGTTATTGATCTCGAAGAAGTGAAAGTCTTGATGACCATTCACAGTGAAGGTATATTGTCATCGTCTGAGCGAGCACATGAGGCAGTTGTGCATAAGTGAGGGATTAAGACATGTACAGCACAGTGCACAGTATCAGCAGCCCCACTTTGCAGGAGCCAGGGTCTGAGTGAGCACCAGCACGCAAACATCTCCCAGATACTGGCAGAATTTCTACCCGCTGGTTACAGTCCAGCTCCTCACCTGCCCTTCCACCCCCCACCCCCCCCCCCACACAGCACCGTCCCATTTGATAAAAACCTGAGGAACCAATGTTAATGGTGGACACTTTGATTGGCAAACGTGAGCTACTGCAACCAAGACATCTAGTCTGGCTGCCCCCAATCCAATCTACAGAGCGTTAAGTGCACAGAGCGTGCGGGTGCGGTACAGTCAATGCCTATGTTCAATACAAAGACAGTCCTGATCTGGTCCAGTCAAGAGGAGGAGGAGGAGAGAGTAACAGACACACGCACACACAAAAAGGGATAAGACACAGAAAGGAGACACACACACACCATTAATACCTGGCTATTCTCTCAATATGTTTAACCTTTTTTTTTCCAAATCGACCAAATGCACACACTTAAGCTGATTTTAAAATTAAAGCCAGAAGAGTTTTCACAATTTATAAAAGAAAGCAACTTCTTAGAGGAGAGGGCATCAAATCACATTCACACTTAAATACTGATAATCTAAGCTGGAGCCTCAGCATTCAATACTCAACGTAAAATAAAAAGATTCTTGAGCTTCTGTAAGAATACGGACAGAGCAGTCTCTTCCTTTGACGCAGCAGATTTAAATACAGGATCCACATAGTTTCATGACAATTTGACAGCCTTTCCTCTCCCATAAACTTGGTTCTAATACTCAGATTTCAAAGCAGACTCCTTAAATTTAAGTCCTGATCTGACACAAAGTGTGTGACAGACAGAACGGACACTCCTGTTAAATTGGGGCATATTAGAACCACAACAGTTCCACATCCCTACAGTGCAAATACAAGGACCTCCTCACTAACAAATACAGTCATTCTCTCTGAGCTAACGTTGATGTTTAATACTGGGTGGCAATAAACCACTGATGGCAAACAGCAGGTCTGGTATAGAAAGTGATGGAGGAGTTTTAACAACTACTGCTCCTTGCAATCGATATGACACCTCCAATGTTGATCTCTAACAGAGCGCTTCATGGGGAACTGCAGTCAAGTGAAGTGACTATTTTGTAGGCTAAATGGCAGCCAGTTTGCACACAAGCACCCGAGCCACAGCCATGAGGCGAGTGAGCAATTAATCAGAGGGGTTGTTGGCCAGGATATGGGGAGAAACTCCCTCCCTTCTCCAGCACTCACTGCCTCTCTTATTTCTCTAGAATTAGTAACGATCGTTGCATATGATACAGCACCTTATCACATCTTTGAGATTCTCAAAGCGGTTCACAGAATTGACTGTAAAGTGAATGGAGTGTATATTTTGCTGGAAAAATGCCCTTCCTTTATCTTTGGGAGGGATTGTTACCCCCGGAAAGCGATTCGCAAATCGACTCACAAACGGGTTCCTACTTAACGAGGCGGGTGGAGTAAGGAAATCTGCCCAACGCTTCGCGCTGCCCAGGCATCGAACCCATGAGGTGAGCGCTCCAACCACTGAGCTACTGGACTCCCCCCAAAAAGGGGCTGCTTATAGTCTGGGTGGGTATAATACACAGGGTTTTACAGCAGCAACTGGCAAACAGGAAGTGTGCAGCGGAGGGGAGAGAGGGGAGGGGGGAGGAGGGGAAATCAATGCTCTTTGTGTGGCAGGCATTTAAATAACCCTGTGCCTGCTGGCAGGGGAGCCCGGCCTTTACAGCTGACACCGCGGTCTGGCTGGCAGGCAGGCAGGCAGGCAGGCGGCCCCGCTCCCCACCCCCACACCCCCCCACCCCACCCCACCCCGGGGGGAGCCCAGCCTGGGAGAGGGCCGCCTACTGCCTACAGGCCTTGGGCTGCAGACCCTCAGATAAACCACACACATTTTGCAACCACTACAAACAGCCACTTCGCCTGCGAGACACTCACCCCCCACACACCCCCCTACACACACCCACCCACACACCCCCCATACACCCCTCCCCCCACACACACACCCCCCACACACCCCCTACACACACCCACCCACACACCCCCCATACACCCCTCCCCCCACACACCACACCACACTCCCCCCTACACCCCACACACACCCCACACCCCCCCCCACACTCCCCCCTACACCCCCCACACCACACCCCACACACACACCCCAAACACCCACACACACACCCCCATCCACCCCCCCCACACACTCCCCCCTACACTCCACACACACCCCCCCCACACACTCCCCCTACACCCCACACCCCCCCCCACACACTCCCTACACCCCACCCCCCCCCCCCAACACACACACCCCCCCCCCCCCCCCCCCCACACACTCCCCCTACACCCCACACACACACACACACACACACACACCGGCCTCTCGCTAACCCTTCTGCCTCGGATGCATTTTTCCTTCAATACAATGTTTACACCAGTCCCTAATCTCCCCCCCCCCCCCCACCCTCAACCTCCCCCCCCACCCCCCTCTCCCCCCCACCCCCAGCCTCCCCCCCCCAACAGTCGGACAGTCATAGCCTCCCCCCCCCATAGTATATGCACTCACATGTCATGCCGGATGGCCAGGCATTGCTCGCTGTCCCTGCCAGGCGGTGTACAACTGCCCCCCACACTGGCTGTGTGCAGGGCCGGGCGGGGAGTGCCGGGCTGTGCAGGGCCGGGCGGGGAGGGCCGGGCAGGGAGTGCAGGGCCGGGCAGGACAGGGCAGGACAGGCGGGGAGGGCAGGGCCGGGCCCGGCAGCAGCAGCAGGACGGGGGGGGACAGGGAAACTGTGCTCAGAGCTCATAAGCTCCGCCTCCTCACGTCACATGTTGTGTCAGACAGCGCCGCTCCCATTGGTCACACAGCCGTCACTCAGCGGCCCCCGGGGGGGGGGGGGGACCTCCTGACTGACACCTCTCTCTCTCTCTCTCTCTCTCTCCTGTCACTCACTCCACAACACAATAATAATAATCACAATCCTGGCCTTTCATACAGAGCCACACCACGTCTTTGAGGCGTCTCAAAGCGCTTTACACAATGCACCGCACAGCGAATTGACGGTATACTTTGTGGGCAAAACCGTATCCCATTATTACAGCAAATGACATTTGTGGAGCACCTTTCAGGTCAGGAGGGGTTACCTCAAAGAGCTTCACATATAACCTGTAAAGTGCAGTGACTATATATTTTTGTGGGCAAAACACGGCAGCCAACGGTGCACAGCAGTGTCCCACAAACAGCCGTGGACTGAGTGACCCATTTCATTTTGTTGAACAAAGCTGCCGTGTTGGTTGTGCACATGAAGGCTCCAGCGAGAGCGTCCCCACCCCACCATTTTTCACGGAGAGATTAAAAAGGCAAGCAGTTACAAAGAAGAGGTTCCTGAGGTGATGGGCTGCGTTCTGGGAGAGCAATATTCAGAAGTCTGCAGTCCTTTCATGTGCCTGGATACCCTTATTAATTTCAGGACAGACAGCAGACTGGATTTGTGCACCCAGACAGGGAACCAGACTGCCCAGACCCAGTTCCCAGGAAGATGGTTGAGGCTGGGAGTCGTTAAGAAGGCAGAATGGGAAAACATAGTGTAGATTCTGTGCGGAGATGAAATGCACCAAAACCAAATAAAATTAGTCACTCCATTGGCTGATTGTGTGACATTGCTGTGTGCCAACTGACTGCTGTACTTCACCAACAAAATATACAGTCACACCTCTTTACAGTATATCCTGTGAAGCGCTTTGAGATGTCTCAAAGATGTGATATATCAACCTCTTGTGAAAAGGCCAGTGGGGGGAGGGAATGATTCTGAGTGGAGCAGAGGCCCTCTGTGGATCTTGGGGACCGCCCCTGCTTCCTTTTTCCTCTGATACACAATTGTTTGCAAGTCCATTAATAATAATAAGTGTAAAATGTACATTTGATAGGTGGCTTTCATGTCAGGAGGATAACTAAAAGTGCTTCACACAACTTACTGTAATGTGTAGTTACTGTGATTTTACAGGCAAAATTAAAAAGGGCAAACAATGGGAGGTAACCTTGCTTCATTTCTTTCTGTGCTGGTGAGGCGAGGGCAGGCCCTGTAAAGCCGACTCTGGCTTTAGCAACATCTCTGGTGTACTTATACTGCTGGGAGGGAAGCCATTTTGACCTACATCGCTTTAAATGCCCCATTTGAGGGGATGGGAGACAAATGGACAAGGTCCACCTGAAGATGGTGGGGCGAGACACTGACATCAGGTTTGTTTGTCTCTCAATGCATCCCAATGCGGTGTACATGGTCCCCCCTGCTGTGCCTACCTCCATTCACGCGAGCCCTGTCCCACCCGTTCACCCTGCATGGCTGGCAGCAGCCTGGCTCACAACCATGCAGTGGAAACGTGCCTTTGATAGGAAGCCCTAACGCACACAGCTGTGCGTACATGACTAAACCCCAACCTACCACCTTCCTCTGGTTTAGCTCGCGGTTTGAAAGTGGCAGTGCCCTCGGCCTCCCGTTTACAATGTCTCTGGCTCACGGCTAAGTTCACTCACTCACTAGTGCACGGACAGACAGCATTTAGAAAAAGACTGCACTCACACACTCGGGGCTTGGGGTGGAAGAGGGGGAATCAGGGATCAGTCTGCAGTCAGGGTTAGTATTAAGCACTGACGGTATTGTCCTCAGAGGGGAAGGGAATTCTCCTAACCCCTTCGCATCCCACCACACCCCCTCCCCCACCTCCCATCTCTCCCTCCCAGGCTGGTTGCTGTGCTGGTGCTGGCCCAAGTGTCAAGAGTTTCCCTTTGATGTCTAACACTCTTCATCCTTCGGTGGGCTGGCCCTCTGCTCTGCCTCGTCCCCCAGCTGGGGGGTTTCGGGCTGGGGGGGCTTGAGCTTTCTCTTTGGCGGATTTTTTAGAGTGCCCAAGCGCTCCTTCACTTTGTACTCCAAGGTGCTGTGTGGAATCCCGTAGGTGCTCTGCGCTTTGGAGACACTCATCTGCCCACCCATCACCACGGCGATGGCCTCCTCAAGGATCTGGTTGTTGTACTGGCGGTAGCGGCCTCGCTTCTTCCTGGGCTGTTTGGAGTCGCTGTCCTGGTCGGAGCTGGCTTGTTGCTGCTGCTGTGGCTTACTGCTGGAGGCCGGCCGCTCGGTCTCACAGCCCCAGGAGCCATGACCCCCATCAGCCAAGCTCCCAATCCCTCTCCTATGCCACACGTTCTGCTTGGGGAGGATCACTCGGAGTTTTCTGTGAAGTGCATTTTCCAGCTGTGAGTTCACCAGCAATGGGCTGTAGGTGTAATGGTTTGTGGCGTTCGTTTCACATGAGAGGTCCAAGCCACGGACTTGCGGGATCTTCAAATCCACTGAGGTCAGATGGCCTTGGTCCCTCTTGCCATCTTGTTTTGCTGGTGCCGATCCCCGTTGGAAGGCCACCTGATGGAAAGGAAGTTCCTTGCCGTCTATACATGTGTCGTTTCCCCTGAATTTGACGTGTCCCAGATTGAACTCGTAGTGTGGTTTGGCCCAGGGGGCCTCTCGGGCTAACACTAAGTGCTGACCTCGGGGCTGAGCTGTGGGGCCCAAGTTCGAAGGCGTTGCTGAGGTCTCGCTCCTGCTCTCTGGCTCCTCGTTTTTCTGTATCGAGCGTGTGACCGGGATCCGGAGGACGACGGCGTTCCCAAAGCCGTCAGTCTGACAGCTTCTCAATGGCTTTGGACGTGAACCTTCTGTGATGTGCCACACACAGTCCGTGGGCGGTTGGCCACTTCTCCCAGGACGCCTAGGATTGGATGGAAGGAAACTCAGGTGAGCAGAACTTGCACAGGGGAGGGAGGGAGGATATAATGGGTGGGAGGGAGAGGGAAGGCTCTCTTTTATTAGAAGATCTTGTTTGGGTAACATCACTTTGTGAACCTTTGTGGAGTCCTGTAGGATAGGGATTTAAGCACTCGCCTCGCAAGCGAGAGAATCTGGGTTTGATTCCTGGGCAGGGCGAAACTTTGAGCAAGTTTCCTTACTCCACACACCTCTGTTTATCTAGCAGTAAGTAGGAACCCGGTTGTTAGTCAACTGGCGGATCACTCTTCCGTGGGTAATAATCCCTTCAAAAAAAAAAAATTTGTTCACTCAATCCACGACTGTTTTGGGGAAATTGCTGTGCACAATTGGCTGCTGCGTTTCGCCCACAAATTATAGTCATTTCACTTTATAGTATATCCTGTGAAGTGCTTTGAGACGTCTCGAAGACGTGATAAGGCGCTATATCAAATGCAAGAAGTATCATTATCTATAGAATTTACTGAGCTCGTCTAATGACTCAATTTTAGTGAGCCACCAGTCTGAAAAAAATGGGGCTTTGAACCCTTAACTCCCCCATCCCCAAAATAAAGCTCCTTAAATAAATGAAACAGCAGTGAGGGCAGTCATATTCCATACAGGTGCACAGTTGTGATTTTCTTGCAGGAAATGTCTTGCGTGTACAGTCTGCAAACAATAACTTTAATTACATGGTCCAACTGAACACTGCTCTGTCTCCTGGCTGACCTAAGTACAGATTTATTGTGACAATAAGATTACCATGAGACTAGTAATAAGAGGCAGCCGAATGACACTTGATTAAAGGAGTTAATGCCCCCGCGTTAACAGTCCACTTCCATCTCCCGGGCAGAGACAAGGCACAGTTTGGATGGGGCGTGTGGAAATGGGATTTTAGTAAAAAAATCTCATAAATATTTAAACAGGGGAAAAAATAAGAAAAACACCCCATAATTTGGGGGAGTTTGGCTTTAAACGTGGTACTGATCCAGTACATGCAAATGAAATCTGCACCTCACAATGCTGATCGCTAAAGTAATGACATTAATGGACCAGCTCACACACCTGTCCTGGCTTCACACAGCATGCTTTTACCCTTATATTACTTTTGGACCCAAACTACAAGCTCAAAGAAGTGATCCTTCTCTAGAGAGCACCAATGGTGAATAAATATTACACCCCTTAGCTGCAAGACAGATACCCGTGTGTCCCCTCATCTACATCAAAAGTCAGACACAAAAATGAAATCAGCCTGTAACGCTGTCAGCAAAAAATTTTCATGACAAGTGAGTGATATGATCAGGTACGCGATCTCACCCAATGGTGAGACATACAAAATGTGTTAGGAAGTCTATTACTGTTATTATTACACAACTGGAACTGTGTCAAAGAGGATCAATTCAGGGATTAATTGAGGATTTTCCGGTTCCAGAGAGTGTCTGACAGAAGTTAGTAAAGCTCCCTGTACTTTGTACAGATAACAGCTCAAACATCGGCAGCACCACAGTTTATTCCCACTTCTCATGCCAGTCAGCCCTGTGCCTCCTGTGTATGAGACGGTCAGGGTGATGCCGATCTGGATGAAACTGATTGCCTTTGTGATACTGAGATACACATACAGACATCACAGCCAGTACAGAGGAGGGAGTTTCTTATTAAGTCTGAGCTGGACTCAAATCCAGGTTCCAGAAGGAAAATAGTGTGGTCACACACTGCACTACCTACTTACGTCTTTCCAAATGTCTTCGTGGTTTGTGTTAGCTCAGAACTCAGTTTCGCCTCTTGCTACAGTACCATTGTTCTGCCGCAAGAGGCAGTGCTACCAATCTCACTTTTTTTTAAAACCATAGAATTTACACACAGAAAACTGTCAATCGACCCATCGTGTTAAAATACAATAGTTTAACCCTTCAGCAGATCACAAAACCTTGCATTTCACAGCATTATTATTACATCAAAAAGTTTCTAAGCACTTTACAAGCAATTAACGTTAAGTGTTTTTTGTGTCAGCACACGTGGCAGGCACACAAGGTTCTTCAAACAGCCATGAAGTGAACAACCAACTTATCTATAATAATAATAATCCTTGCATTTGATATAGCGCTTTATCACGTCTTCGAGACGTCTCAAAGCGCTTCACAGATTTTACTGTAAAGTGTATTGACTGTATACTTTGTGGGCAAAACACAGCAGCCAATTGTGCACAGCAGCGTCCCACAAACAGTCGTGGATTGAGTCACCAAATGATTTTTATTCGTTTTGAAGTAATTATTACTCCCGGAAAAGCGCTCCGCCAATCGCCAAGCAACCAGGTTCTTACTTACTCCTAGGTAAACGGAGGTGTGTGGAGTAAGAAAAAGTGCCAAACGTTTCGCCCTGCCGGGAATCAAACCAAGGTCTTCTCGCTTGCAAGGTGAGTGGTCTAATCACTGAGCTACAGGACTCCACAGGAGAGGATTATTGTCCAAGAGAGCCAAAAAAAACTCTTTGCCAATGTTTGGAATCTTTTAAAGGATTTCCAAAGTTCTTAAAAAGAACCAACTTCTAAACAAATGAGAATTTTTCAACGTTCCTCACGATCATAAATGCAGGTGAATCTACACTGAGACCTTCTGTTGGCTCTGGTGGTTTTCTTTGTATAACTGCTCACAGTTCACTTAGGATCCAGAGACACAGGTAATGTTATCAGCCTAAAAATGTTCCAAAGTATAATTCCTGTCAGAGTTTAAATGGTGCAAAAGTTGCAATTGTGCTCTTTACCATTTATCATTCTAAAGAAAAACATTGTCCTCAGTTTCACTATGTGCTTCATTTACATGGGCTCTTCTATCAACCTCCTCAGTAGGGCAGAGAGAAAGGCACGCACACCATGCTGATAACACTATCGAGCTTGATTTGGACCACAAAGACACCTTTCAGCACTCAGAAGATCACAGATTGGTTTAGATGAATACCTTCTGATGTCATCCCTCCAGAAAACCCACCCTACCATCTTCCCAACACAGCATCAACAACAATAAGATTACATTTGTATAGCGCCTTTCACGTCAGGAGGACGTCCCAAGCTGGGGTCGGGGGGGGGGGGGAGAGAAGGGAGGGGAGGGGAAGGGAGGTGGCCAATGGCATAGTCGAAGAGGAGGGTCTTGAGGCGGGACTTGAAAGAGGCTAAGGAGGGGGCGAAGTGGAATGATTGGGGGATGGAATTCCAGTGGTTGGGGGCAGAGTGGCTGAAGGCTCTCCCGCCAATGGTGGGGCGGGTGGGTCGGGGGATGTGGAGCAGCCAGAGCCGGCTGAGCGGAGGGAACGGGCGGGTTGGTAGGGGGTTAGGAGGTCGCAGAGGTAGGGTGGGGGAGGCCATGAAGGGCTTTGTAGGTGAGGATCTTGAACTGGATCCTCTGAAGGATAGGGAGCCAATGGAGTTGGGCGAGAATGGGGGAGATGGGGTCACAGAGTTTGGTGCGGGAGAGGACACGGACTGCAGAGTTCTGGATTATCTGCAGCTGTGGAGGGAGGAGTTGGGAAGGCCGACAAGCAGTCCAAGGTCCTGGCCTCAACCACCTTTAATAATAATAATCCTTGCATTTGATATAGCACCTTATCATGTCATCAAGACATCTCAAAGTGCTTCACAGGATATATTGTAAAGTGAATTGTGCGTGAAACACGGCAACCGAATGCACACAGCAGTGTCCCACAAACAAAAAAAATTCCTTCCAGGCAGCCAGTCTAATTACCCGCTGGGTAAAGAAAAGCTTCCTGGTGTCTGTCTTCTATACATGTTCCTCTCCTGGGCACTGCATCCTCACACAGTCAAATAGAAGACAAAACATTCACAAATAGGAGAGCTTCTGTTGAAATACAAAGACATGGTCAGGAGTTGCTAACTCTGGAGCGAATACTGTTAGTGCTGAGTACTTACCTATATATCATCCTCCTTGGCTTGGTCAAGCCTGAAACAGTCAGGTTACAGTGCTCCACAATCACCTTTTATTCTGTCCATTTCAGTCACTGTAGAGCACAGTGAAAGCACATCTTTTTTTTCCATTGAAGTCCATACTTTGCTTAAAGAAATCCATCTTTTTTTCTTTCGACATCATTTCATAAAATGGCAAGTGCTCCTTTTAGACTATAAGTACTCAATCGTCATGGAAAGTTGGGGGGGGGTGGGGGAGGTCAGCGGCAAAGGGATTTTCAACAGCTAGAGTCTTCCTTATACAGCATCTTCTAACACAAAACCTACAGCTGTGCTAAAACATCAGCACTAGTTACATTAGTGCTTCATCAACCGCTGGGAGGGAGTTCCTCTCAGGAAGCAGATTGGAGTGGAGTTCCCGCAGATCAATATGATGTACATTTGGTTACCAGTCTCCCATGTGCGTGGCTGATCCCATTAAACCCCCCCTCCAAAAAAAATGGTCACTCAATCCACGACTCTTTGTGGGACACTGCTGTGTGCAATTGGCTGCCATATTTTGCCCACAAAATACACAGTCAATCCACTTTACAGTATATTCTGTGAAGCGCTTTGACAATGCCTCGAAGACCTGATAAAGCGCTATATCAAATGCAAGGATTATTATTATTACTAAATGCTGCAAATTAGATTAACAAGTGTTGCTGATGTACTTTCACATTTGCGTGCAATGCAAGGAGCCCTATAACACCAGCACTTTACAAAAACCTACTTCTCTTTAGGGCAGTGCGTCATTCTCAAGGTACATGAAACTGAGATGGTCTCCTGGCCTGGTTTACTGTGGCTAGACTAAACCTTTCTGCACTGTCTGCTCTGCTGAAATCGCAGGCGATTTATGAGTTAGTTGACGTCAATGGCAGGTATAAAAACAAGACCCATATATAAACTCTCCAGAAATGAGACAAACTGCACAAGTAAATGTAATGGTCTAAAAACTAAATCTTTAACACTATTTTAAAGAGGGGAACATTATTTTGAAAAATGGATAGTGGATTTTCATCAGCCCAACAACGTTCATGTGTATAATGCCTTTCACCTAGAATTAATGCCGAACTGCTTCACAGTGACAGAATGGTGAGCACTGAGCAAAAAAAAGGTGGGGGGGAGAGAGGAGGAGAAGCTTTAAGGATGTTGACCAAAGGCATGTATTAAGAAAATTTAAATGCAGGGGTAAAGGAAGAAAGGCGAAGAAATTTGGGAGAAAATTCCAGAGGGCAGGAGCTTAGTGGCTGTAAGCTTGGGTACCAATTGTGGGATGGTGGAAGGAGTGTGAAACGAGCAGTAGACTTGGAGTGGAAGGCCTAGGTAGGAGAATAGGCCCTGGAACAGATTGTTGAACCACAGCACAAAAATTTTGCAGCACAGATGGCCATTTGGCCCATCATATCTACCCGCAGAGGTAGGTTAGGGAACAACATAGAGAGCCTTGCAAATTAATGTATATATAGTCAATCCATTGAGGTACTGGGAAGCCATGGAGCCTGGCGAGGATGGGAGTGATCGGTGTGTGACCCAGTCTGTTGAAGTTTGGGTGAGGGGGGGTGAGCACTGGCAGAGCCTTTCCTCAGGGTAATGAAATCACGAACAAGCAAGTTGTAAAAATGCCAACTTTACAGCAGATGCTGAGAATTACAACCGGAATTAGTACCTTTGCTTTCCAACAGTACAAATGGCTCTTTCAAAAGAATACTCAGACCCTAACCCAGATACACACCCACAATGATCCCAAACAAAGGAATACACCAACCTTATCCCAAACCAACACAATGATCCCAAACAAACCAGCTTGTTTTGGATAACCATAGGTTGTAAGTCACTCATCCAATGCCAAATGAGCCATTTAGATAGGCACTTTTTTTTGTCAGCTGGGTGTCTCACACATGTGAAACCCATCCCCATGCTTAAGAGTATCCAAACCAATATGAGAATTCCATGCATCCCACCTGCACATGGAAATCCCAGAGATAGATTGTTGGAATGGAATGTGCTCTCTCTCACTGGAGGGAAGCATCCTGCTTACCTAATTCCGGAGAGTATCAGGAGCAGGTTATCAAGAGCCAAGGCTTGAGGACCCTAGAGTATGTATTGGGGTTACTGATGGGAGTTTAACCAGCCAGAGAGGTACTGAGGCGTGACCTAACTTAGAGATGAACGCAATGCACTCAGTCAATATCATCTGAAGCATTTTACCCACTATTAATTAACATGAAGCAAATTCCTCCTGTAAAATGTGAATTGTAAGTACAGTACTTGACAGGAGCTGCATTCATACACAAACGTCCCAGATCACTGGAATTCCTTTGTTTATTCAAAGCCTTGAATTAAGACTCTACAAGTCTCTGTGGTTGTTGCAATTGTAAATTCTGCATGATAATTCTCAGCCCAAGTTACAGAAACAGACTGGATGGACAGAGGGACTTTGTGGAGTCAGATCTTCAGAGAGAAAAAGGCTTTCTTTCTCTCTCCTTCACTCAGACAGAACATTAAATGTGCTGAAGCCCCCCCCCCCACCCACTCCCAAACTCAGAGCCTTTACACCCGTTCCTGATTGCTAGCCACCTCCCATTGCACTGTGTGGATCTGAGGAGGATTTGGTATGAAGGCCCCATGGTTTTGAACCCCATCAACACAGTGAGATGCTAGGCAAGCCCAAGATAAGGGTCGGGGAGGGGAACAGTTCAAAGCATTCACTCCCCTGGTATCTCAGTTTCTAAAGTTCTGCCACCACCACAAGATCATAGATTCAACATAAAAATTACATTTGTAAAGTGCCTTTCATGTCAGGGGGATGTCCCAATGCGCTGAGAGACATTTGCAGCACAGAAGGTAGCGATTCATCGTGCTTCTACCAGTTACCTGTTTAGTCCCACTCCACTGTCCTTTCCCCCCTATCCTATTACACTATCTTTCCTTGTGTAAACGTTTGTCTAATTCCCTTTTAAAAGTTTGTGGGACATTGCTGTGCGCAATTGGCTGCTGCGTTTTTCCCACAAAATACAGTCACTCCACTTTACAGTATATTCTGAGAAGCGCTTTGAGATGTCTTGAAGACGTGAGACTACTAGCGCCGTCATTAAACAACAAGATATGCCCACGGTCAAGAGAGGAAAATTGCTGGAATTAGGTTT